GGAGAGGTGGGTGCATGCAATCAATCAATGGGTATACAGAGTTTATGCGTGTGATGCGTTCGGGTGGTTGTGTTGTGTATCGCACTCATGAGCTCCTAGTGCATGCCGTGGATGGATGGATGGATGCGTGTTGGTCTGTCTCACCCTCTCTCTCTCTCCCTCCCGCCCTCTCCTTCCCGCCTTTAATTTTTCTGCCTAGCCTGCCTCCTGTCTGCCTATCTTTCTCCCCAACACACACACACACACACATACACACACACACAATGGGTGTAGGCGTTTTGCCCCTTGACCCCCATTCCACCCACACCCATCGTCCTACTCGTTGCAGCTGCTGCTGCTACTGCTGGCGGAGAGGTTCACCACCCCACACCCATGCACATGCGTCCAACAGAGTCTATGCGGTGTGTGCAGTGTACCATACATAACACAGCCTAGCCTAGCCTAGCAGACAGATGGATGGATGGATAGATGGATGAAGAGTGGGGTGGTGCCCAGCAGGGGCCTGAATCTCTCCACATAGCTGTCTGTATACCAGCGGGGTATGTCTTGTCTTGTCCTGCGGTCGGTCGGGTGCTTCTGCCCTGCCTGCCATAGGCAATGCAGGCAGGCGCGTCCACTCGCCGATAATAGCAGCCAGAAGCACCAACGAGTCCCCCCACGCGCAATGAGACGAGGGAGGCGGGACGACCTAACTAGTGAGATACCATGAGTAGACGTCATATGCCCTGACTGAAGTGGGATTGGCTCACTGTGGCTGGCGGTGCGGGTGACATTATCTGCATCACGTGGTGGGACATGGTCGGCCAAACCTCTGAGAGAAGAGGGGCTAACCGAACGTGTCCATCGCGTGTTCCCGAGGAGATGTCACTTCACACTGACTGCCGGCCAACTGATGCACAGCAGAGCACCCATGCGGCCTACCTGCCAGTGCCTGGAAACGGGACTGAATCGATGACGGCGTGTGGTGGGTGGGTGGTTTTAATGAATCAATGAATGGATGGATGGATGGATGGGTGTATATGTGCGTGCGTGGATTGGCTGCCGCCCGTATGTGCCTGTCAAGACAAATTAGCTCACCAGCGAGCAGAGCATCAGCTGTCTGCCTGCTGTCCTTGCCTCGCCCCTCCCTGTGTCTGTCTGCCCGTCTGCCTGGATGCCTCCCTACCTGACAGTCTGCCTATGTCCTCTCCTCTCGCCTTATGTGCTTCGCTCATGTGTGTGTCTGTGTGTGCGACTGAGTGACTTCGTTACTGAATGCTGCTGGTGCAAGCGAACGAGTCCAGTCTAGAGGCGATTCATCCCCCCACACACGGCCACACACGGCCACGCACTCGCGCGACACACGACGGACGGAAAACACCAAGACGTGGCCACGCTTGGCCATCTCTCTCTAAGCCATCCAAAGACACCACACTCCCCAACGATCAGAGCTTGTTGTGTGTGGTCACAGGCCGCCTTGTCCAGTAACTGCCCCGTCTGGCCCAGCATAGCGAGTGGCTGCTGCCCTCGTGTCATTGCCCAGCTGCACACACACACACACAGCAGGGATCCCTTCCGTCCCGTCCCCCACATCCGCACCCCCACACACCCCACCACATACCCACCCGCCCTGTCTGCGTACCACGAATGAGCCCTCCAGCTTGACGAGCCCGGCGGTCGTCAGGAACTCCTCCAACCCAGGACCACCAGCCTGCATGGCATGCAGGAGCGCACAGACGGGTCGGGTGACACATGCGTCTATTGGCCATCCTCCCCTCCCCTTCCCTTCCCTCCCCACGAGTATGGTTGCGACGCCGTCGACTTTGCCCTGCTTGAGGGCAGGCACCATGTCGAAGACCGCATGCTCCTCCAGCAACACACCCTGCACACCACCACCCCCACAAATGCAATGCGCAGACCGTCACACACACACACACACACTCACACACACTCACACACATATGCCCGCCACTGCTGCGTGCTGTTGCTCCCGACCCACCGGTGCCGTCTTTGTGAAGTCAGAGATGTAGAAGCAGTTGTCGCACACGCCGACCTTCATTCTACACACACACGGAGAGGAACACACGCATATTCTCCTGCACCCCTTTGCATCTCGACATCCTCGCCCTCCCGCCCTAACCCATCGAGTGCGTCAGGTTTAGCCGTCAGGTTGGTGCCCGCCAGCTCGGATGAGTCGAGCACCCACACGCCGACCTCGTTGACGAAGTTGACGAGCGAACAGCTGGTGTAGTCGACAGAGTGGGCCCGCCGCTCGGTGACGGTGAACCAGGTCAGCACATCGGCCTCACCGACGTTCATCGCCTCGCGGAATGGCACGAAAAAGTCAGCGAGGTTGTCTGTGCCACAGACACACACACATACGCTTGTGTGCGGTTGTTGCGTGTGTGTGGCTATCCACGACAGTACTGACCCACGATAACGAATTTTGGCGATATGTCGACGCCATAGTGTGAGCTGAGTGCGTCCACAATCAGGTTGTCGACCTCTATGTTGAACTGCTGAATGGTGGTCGCATTGGCCGGCAGCCCAAACACCAGCACACCATCCTCCAACACCTGCAGGACAGACACGCCGGCCGATGGGCGGATGGATGGATGGATACATGGACGAGTGTGATCCACACACACATACACACACACACACACACTCACCTCGGCAAAGGTGCCCTCTGCCTCTGCTGCGGGTGGGTATGACGCCGAGGCCTCACAAGAGGGGAACGTCTTGGTGGCCGTCGGGAAGTGCTCATCGAGCACAGACAAGAACGCTTCACCATCCCTTATCTGCACAACCCCACCCAGCCAGCCCGTGCATCAACCACACCACAAGACAAACAAACGTGCGTGCCTTCTCGTGACTTACCTGCGAGATGGCGGCGCTGATGGCAGCATTTAATTGGACATCTCCGATGTCGCCCACCACTGCGGGGTCCCTTTCACCTGAAGGCCCGGACACATCCCACGCGCACCCACCAAAACGTTCCGAAATGACAGACAGGCAGAGGTGCGCGTTTGTTGTCTGTGTGCTGATTGACAGACAGCCGCGGCACAGCGCATACCACACTGCTGCAGGCTGGCAACGAACCTTGCTGGGCGTCATCTCCCGTCTGAGCTTGGGCAGCCGCCGTCCACAGGAGAAGGACAGCAGCAAAGAAAGAGGGAACAAGAGCGAACATCATGATGCCACCAACTGCAGCTTGTCAGAAGCATAAACGGCTGATCATAATTTCGCACTGTTGATGCTGTGAATAAAGCATAACGAAATCGGATGGAGGCCATTCCGTCAAGGGCAGCCTCCTCCCGTGCCTCTTCAGGTCAGGTATCCAGAGCCCCGAGCGAAGATGAAGGAGATGAAGGAGGGGGAGACTGGAGTGCCTTCTACGTTCCACCTGAGCCCATCGACGAGCCGCCAAGAGAAGACGATAGTCGTGAAGCCGAAGCAAGGACCACTTCAGCCCTCGTGCAAGACCAGGGAAGTGGGAGTGAGGCGATAGCGGCGTCAAGAAGAGTCGCCGAAGACGATGGCTGGCCCGCTGAGAGGGGCGCCGGGGATGCCGGGGTGCTGGGGCCTGCTGCTGTGTCGCCTTCAAAGTGGCGCAAGTGGGCTCGAATCGGTGGAGGGGTCGGACGGATGCACAGGTCAGAACACACAGAGACGAAAGGGCCAAGGCGATGGATGAGACACATCGAGTGTTCGTGTGTGGATGTAGAATGTGGCGGCTGTACGGCGAGCGCGTCAAAAAAGAGGGACTCGTTAGATTGGCCATCGTGGCCCAAGGCCTCAGCCTCGATGAGCTGCGGAATCGCCTCTCTCGGCCTGTCCTTCTGCGCGTTCGCAAGAAAGGGGCGCCTTTGCTGGTAGGTACACACACCTGCCCGCATCTGCCGTCCGTCATCATGGCAATCAATCATGGCAGGAGCTCATTCTGTCTGTTGGACAGGCTTCGCAGAAGATTGCAGTGGAGAAGGTTCAGCGTGTGCTGCATCAGTGCATGCGGCGTGCCCTGATGCCCTTCATGCGCCTCATTCTCTCACCAGCTGTCGCATTGACCCAGCATCACGCTGTGCAGGGTGTGTGTGTGTGTGGGATGGGCGGATTGGGAGGGCGGGAGGCATGACACGGAAAGGTGTGTTTGTCGGGTGTTTGTTGGCAGAGGTGGACCACTACAGGGCGGCCATGAGAGCCATCCGGGAGGTGAATGCGCAGCTCGGTGTGCGGAGGATTGTGGGGGTGGTGCGGCAGAAGCTGCTGAAGAAGAAGATGAGGGCGTTCCGCATATGGTGGACCGTCACACAGGTGACCGACCATATGCTCACACACCTGCTGTGACCACCTCTCCTTCCTTCATTTCGTTCTGCAGTGGCAGCTGGATGTGGCAGAGGATGTGCAGCTCCAGCGAGACATGGCCGCATGGACCCTCGACCAAATCGGATTCCCATGCCCGCCATCGCCCACACTGCCACCATCACGCCCACACCCACGTCCACCATCCCTCCCCAGAGCGTCGCGGCCCATCCTTTTCGACATCCCCCCCGCACCACCGACATTCCGCGTTTCTCCAGCACTCGACATGGCTAACCAGTCGCCTCACGACCTAGTGCCCACCTCTCAACATTCGCGAAGGCGCCTTCGAGAAGAGCGGGAGGGGAGGGACGCGAGCCCGCACGCGTTGCTGCCGGCTGGTGCTGATGGATCGCCGGCTGTGGTGGTGCGTGGCTACGGGCGTGGGGGTGATCCAGGTGCGTGGCCACACGGGTTGTGGTGGTCGTGTGGTGTGGGAGACATGGAGCGGCGGCCCACTGTGGTGGACTGCTCGCTGCCACCTATATTTGGGCCGCCGGCCATGTGATAAAGGACGTATCTGGTCTCTCTCTGTCTTTGTGTGAGGGGATGAGTATGGTGTGAGGTTCCTTGAGACCCTTTTTGTGTGTCCACTTTGTTTCCACAGACAATGTGACATGAACAAGGTCGACCTCATTGGCACGGCGCCCCAGCATCAATCCTCCTTCCATGGACACGCAGACACGCACACAGACACACAGCCATCAATACACACATCACCTCTGTGTGTGTGTGTGGCCGCCATTTTCTCTCACGAAGCGACCGAGAGAATCAAAGAGCGGCTTGGCGAGAATACGGCGGCAGACTGGTTAATTACATGACCATGACATCATGTAACGAAACGAATCACGGAACTAAGGATACTCACAAAATTGCCCCCGCACACACACAATACATAAACGAGCGTGGCCGTCTGCCGCCTCACGCCCCTCCCTCCATAACGTGCGGAGGTAGGTATGGATTCAAAGCAGGTATGCACACACACAAGTAAGTATTCAAACGCTGCCTGCACCTGACCCTTCACTCTTCCTCGGGTGGCTGCGGCAGCTGTCGTGGCATTGGGGCCCGCCTGGGATGTAGAGGAGTGGGCAACGGCGCCGGTGGCTCAGGCGATACACTGCATGGATCGATCAACCAATTGTAACATGGCACAAGCATTCAAGGCACAATCGACCGGGAACGGCTCATGCTCTCTTGTTTTTCTCACCAGGTGAGGTCTCCTCGACTAGTCTGTCCTCGCCCTGCGGCTCTTCACTCGACACGCCACGGCTCACCTGACTGTCCCTCTGCTGCTCGCGAAGGCCGCCTGCTGCTGCTGCCACTGCTCCTGTCTGAGAGGGCAGTTGTGTGTCGGCAGGGGGTGGGTGAGAGGAGGGGGGCTGTGTGGTCACAGAGGGGAAGGAGGGGATGGGGCATGACCAATGGTCCGGCGCCGATGGCCTACCTGACGACCGACACACAGAGAATGGACGCACCCAGATGTTTCAATGAGCGGCACACCTACCAGCGAATTTCTGGATACACTGAGAGCAACGGCGGCACAGCGACGATATCGATGCGCCAAGGGAGGCCAGCCACGCCGACAAGGACGATGGTCGACGTGGCTGCCCGCCACTAGATGTGGTGGTGTGAGTGGCAGCAGGACCCAACGGAACGTTCTGTCTCATCAAGGCCGCTCGCACAATTGCAAAGACCACCTTCAGGGCTGAGAACCGGTGTCCGTGGCGAGGATTCCAGCACCCGCTGACATACGAAGCCGCGGAGGTCTCGGTAACACACTCCGGGAGGGAGGGAAGGAGAGATCAGCAGTGGGATGGCTTCACTTGATGAGCAGGAGATCACTCAGCGGGCGGGATGGTCGTACTTCAGCAGCCCTGTGAGGGCCGCGGTAGCAGGCAGAAGGAGCCCATGAGTGGTGAGATCTGCCAGGAAGCGTTGCTCAGCAGGAGGGCCAGCCGGAGAAGCTGGTGGGTCGGAAGAGGCGTGGGCAATCATGGCGCTCAGGTGGGTCGGGTGGCGGTCTCAACTAATATAGTGATGACGTACTGACTCCTCGGTCAGATCTGATGAGGAATGATCCCGGAAGGGCGTTCTTGGCCGTTCTGTCGTCGAGTCCCTCCGGTGGCCGGTAAGAGGCTCTTGCAAGCATATCTTCTCCTCAGAATGCCTCACTGGACGGCTGGGCGTCTGGGGGACGTGATATTTACATCCGTCGCGAGCTTGAGCTCGCGGGAGATTTCGGGGGGGGGGGAGGGGGGGGGGGG